TTTTCGAATTACTTGAATCATTTGTGCTACTTTCAAAACATTTTTTCGTTTGCTGAGATTTGATAAATCTTCAAATAAAAAGAAAGAATTCAAAAAAACATAATAAATATCTTTTTTTTCCCTTTACTTGAAAAGATTAAATTATTAAGATCATGTAATATAAAGGGATGTTTAAAAAAAATTATAAATAAACGAAGTTCATCATATTGATTATGAAAAAATTGGTCGAATTGTTGTTGATCTTAAAACATTTGAAAGGACATAAATATCTTCTAAACATCCAACCGATATAAAAGACAAAAATAACAAACAATTTGTATTTGAGTTGATGCTTGAACGTGTAATGAATGATGAATTTTATACATCCATTGACATGGTAAAAATGAATTGTGATCAACAAAACCTTAAAATCAAAAAGTAGCTAATAACTAACTTAATGTAATAAAATCGACTTATTCATTCAAATTCGAAAAAAAACTACCTAGTTAATATCTCTACAAAATACATACTTAGCAAAAGTCGAAGCAGTTGCTTGACGAACACGTATATCAGGATATATTGTTTTAATTGTTTTTGTTGTTGTTCAAGATAAGTTAATATTCGAAAATCAATATCATCTATAAATTGAGCTAGACTAACCTATTTTATATACATGCAAAAAAATAATTATTATAATCATAAATTTCTTTTATCTACTTTAGCAAGAATACAGGAACTTGTAGTATGTTGAATAGAATCTTCTAATAATTCAATTCCTATGATTGTAAATGCATCACTATTAATTAATAAAAAAAAGGTAATAATGTTCGTAAAGCATTTAGGGAAACATGTATAACACGTGTATTATTATCATTAAGACATATAACCTTGAACTGTCTTGTGAATCAGTTGATATAAGTGAACATTAATTAATAAAAGAATTATTAAATGAATTTGATAATGATGATAGTGTTAAAAGATGATTTGTTGTTTGAATTAATGTAACAAGTAAATTTGCACATGCACCACGTAAATGTAGATCACCGTGTTCACATAAAGATAAAAGATATGTAATATCTTAAAGAAAAGAAAAAAAAGAAACCTTGATGTTCCATAAATTTTAATGTATTACAAGTCATATAGAGATGCGAATTTCATTTTTTCCTTTAGAGAATTCTATTTCAATTACAAAATTATATCTAATCAAAAATCTTCAAAGACTAATGAAAAATTTCTTAGAGGATACAATTGATTTCATATCTCAAACTTCGGCTTAGAACTTTTTTGAGGTAGTTGTGTGATTGTATAATTTCAATCTCTGATGTATAAATGCAGGCTTTGAGCTTCAATGAAGTGTTCTACTTGATATCGTTTCGAGTCTGATAATGTTCTAGTCTATTGTTGATTTCAAAAAAATTAAAAGTAGGAATAGGACTAGAGCTGCTGAATCAATATTGAGAAATCTCCCTTCTTGAATTTTCAGATTCCAATATATATATGTTTCAACAATTTAATAGTGAAATTGTCATATCTATCAGATAACTTTCACTAATACTTTGAGACCTTAACCCATTGAAGCCACGTCAACTAAACTCTGCCACAATCCCCTTCATCTAGGCCCTCCAACTGTTACGACATTAGAAATAATTTTGGATTATAAAATAGATCTATTTTACTGAAGTGAAACTTTACAAAAAGAAGCCTCAAACAAGTATTAAACATACTTTCAATAAGGTAATCAAATCGACCAAATTATTGATAAATACGATAGACATATTGGTGTAGCACATTTAACACTAATACATGATTCATCATCACTTTTTATCGTACCATCCATATTGAGTATATATCTAATCGGAAAAAATATAATGGATTAACAAGTTTAGCAACTGATGTTCGTTTTTCATTATTAATCATTGATGTTGAATCGAATTCATCATTCATTTCAATAAATCAATGTTGATATGCTGAATAAGCTATTGTTTTAGAAAAAAAACCAAATAAAAAAACTCGTTTCTTTCTCAATATTTACCTGTTTGTAATGCTTGACTAACACAAGTTTTTTTCTATAGATCCAATTTGAATTGACATTAATAATTGATCAAAATCAAATAAATTTGAATAACGAAGTAATTGAATAATTTTTTTATTAAATCAAGATAATCAATTATTAAATGTGTACTAGCATTTTGATTTTGATACTCAAGTAATTGATCTATTAAAATAAAAGACAATTATAATGGATCGAAATCATTATTTTGAAAGAAAATTACTACTTGCATTTGTCATTAGAAAACGTGCCATAACCATGGGATAACATATTTGCTGAACAGACCATGAGAAGTTTCTAAGAATAGTTTAGTAGTTTATTAAATATTTCAAAAGAAAATTATTTATTATTGATATTAGGAAAAAAACAGAAGAATTCGTTTTCACTCGACTTCATACTTTAACTATCACGATAGCCAGTGAACTCCTATGACTAAACCATTCTTAAGTTGCATGAAACTCTACGCTCGATTACTTTCAAGGGCAGATCGCTTCAACTGATAGACAGTTTCTCAGTTCGTATTTCGTCAAATAGTATCAGACTGCCTATTCTACATTTTCTGAAAAACATCCTCTCATGCTAGAAATTTTAACCGAAACATGGTAGAGCAATTCTTTTCTATGTTTCTATTCAACCGTATGACATTTTTCTGATTACTTCTTTAGAAAACTTGTTCTAGATGACAAAGATTTTCT